GCTGCTGCAGCTGCTGTCGCTGGGCTGGAGTGTGTCACCCTCTTGGACAGGCCCGTGCTGAGTCCAGAGTCCTCCATCTACACCACAGCAAGTGCTAGGACACCCGCCCGGTCGCCCGAGAAACACACAGCAATAGCATTCAACTTCGAAGCAGGTATCCACCAGTACATTGATGCAGACACAGATGATGAGGGACAGGTGCTGTACAGTGTGGACTCTAGCCCTCCCAAGAGCCTCCATGGGAGTACCAGTCCCAAATTCAGTGTTGGGACAAGATCAGAGAAGAACCACTTTGAAAGTTCCCCCTTACCCACCTCTCCTAAGTTCTTAAGGCAGAACTGTATTTACCCTACAGAAGCATTGACTGGAAAAGCCCCAAGTGGTCAGGAAAAGTACAAACTTGAGAACCATATCTCCCCCGATGTCCGGGTGTTGCCTGGGGGAGGAGCCCATGGAAGCACACGGGATCAGAGCATCTGAACTACCCCACGTGGAGGAGAGACTTGTAGTGAGATCCAAAGAAGAGTGCTGCTCAGCTTACCTGCCACATAGCTTTTCTGCATGAACTCTGAAGCAGAAAGGCTCTGCAAAGTCCCCAGAAAGACGAGAGACTCCAGAGAAAGCTCCCTAATACCTTGAGAGTCACAGCAGGTCTATTGGAATGAAGTTGGCCAAGCCATAGACTATGGCACCTCCTTGTAACAACTCCACTGCCCTCTTTGGGAGATGACGTGAGCAGAACTCACAGCCACCACTACCACATTCTAGACATAACCAAGGCCACCTACTCCCCATTCTTCTCTCATGGCCATCCATCAGCCTCTGAAAGCAACATCTCTGATCCCTCCTGGCCTTGGCTGGAGAAGGATGCTGGAACACGTGGCTGATATTGAAAAAGTGAGTTGACTAATTTGGTATTGGGTGTTGCCTGGCCACCTCTAGGAACCCCTGTCCATCACCTCCTGGATGGATCCCACTGTTAGAAGGCTACAGAGAATGCTTGTGTCATGGAGAAATCTCTGCACCATAAGCCACAATCCCAGCGCAAAACCCATACTCAAATGTCTTCATTGACTTCAGTATTTCATAGTGCTTGAGATTTTATTTTGAGATTTCATCAGGGTGAGTTGTACCACTTGTACTCCATTCTAATTGCCCCCTGGCTATCTGGGAAGGGCTCAGGAGGCAGGCATTCAGCCAACAGTATGAACTCTGAGCATTGCTTTAGGGTTGTAGAAGGAAAGCATTTTCTGTACATCACTAGTGTAGGCTCAAAAGATATGCAAGTGTCAAATATGCAAAAGAAATAGCTTATTCAAAGAGACTGTATGCTACTGGAGAACAGAATAAAATGATTTTTTTTTAACCTGCAACAATGAAAGGGGGGGGGGGGGGGGAGTCCCCAAATGAAATGCCCTGTTCAGACTTTTGAATACTTCCTGCTGCGGCAGGGAAAGCATCTACTATAATAGAAATGCTTTTTTTGTTTCCTGTGGTATTCAAGTTTTTAAAAAAATTAAAATAAAAAGCACTTTATGTTTTTCAAAAATAGGTTCTACCAGGGATGGCATCACCATCTTGCACTTTAAAAGAAGCACTATTTCCCATGGGCCACTTTTTGGGACTCTGGTTGGGTTGTTGCTGTATGCTTGTGTCCCACCACCGTGGGTGATATTGTGCTGGTATTGCTGTCTGCCATGTCAAAGTCTGCAGGCGCCTTCCTGCCCCTCTGAAGCTTCCCCTTAACACTATTGCAAAGAAGGGTACCTAGCCCTTGAGTGGGGCTTCTCATAAAGTCACGTGTATAGAAACCAGGCGCATCTCAGAAGAAGACAGTAGATAGTTGGGCATGGGGTGTTTTCTTGTCAACCAGCTGTGGGTGTGTTTTCAGTGTCACTGTCTGTATTAAAAGCTCAGCTCTCCTTTCTGCAGCCATCAATGCAGCCAGTACAGACAAAAGCAATAAGTTCTAGTGTGTTTCTTGGTGTTGGTGTTCCTGTCCTAGTTTGATGCACTGACATTGGTCTACTTGAGTTCAGTCTGACAGCATGGTGTTGCTGGCTGTGCCTTGGTTCAGTAACATTGGGTTGAGCCACCGGTTAGCGTGATGCCATGCTGTGGGCCCATCTGTCAGCAAAGATAGCATGTTATGGATCTGCCTGTTTTCAAAGCAATGGACTGATGTTGTTCTCTTAATACAATTCTGATGGATGATGTCCCAAATACAATAGTATATATCTGTCAATCATCAATTGTGACAGGCATGTGTCTTCCTGATGGAACGAAATGTGGTATTGTTTAGCTGTCCTTCATACGATGTTATTGATCTGCCTGCTATTACAATGGCACGATCCACCTGTCCGTACACAGACATCACAGAGTCGTCCTGCCTGCTCTCCTCACAGTGGCATGAGGTTGGGCCGCCTGTCACAGATACGATGGCATGGGGTCATCCTACTGCCCTTAATACGATGTGTATTCTTTGCTGAATACGCGCCTGGTTCACATTGCTTCTCAGCATCTCCAAGGACTGTGGATCTCTCCAGGAGGGGACAGTCCTGTTCGTTGCTGCATTGACAAAGAAAATGCGTGTCAGAGTACCTTGACTCTTCCAAAGTATCTTCCGAGTACTCTGGCAGCAAACGCAAAGGGACATAGAGAGAATGAGGTCATCCTGTGCTGGTGATACACCAGCGAGAAGAAGCAGCAGCGCTCCCAGGGGGCTTTGCTGAGCTCTCCGTGTGGGCTGGAGGCCTGTTGAGGAACGGCCCTGGAGCAGTCCTCCCTGGACCATCTCACGTGTCTCTTCTTTGTTTTCATCACCATCTATGTCCGCCATCAGCACAAATGTGAAAATTCAGGGAAAACAAACAAATGCTTTTTGATAAAAGTAAATAGTTGTGATTTCTGATTCAGATATTTTTAGAGCTGATGCTATCTGTAAAAATTAATAATAATAATAATAATAATGATATAGTCTATTTTACATATCAGGAAAGTGAACATGTTTAAATATAGCCATATATAGTGGGAAGGAACTTACCACCCCTTCTTCAAACCAAGGCATTTCATTTGTTGGTGGAAGCAGACAACAAGTGTTTAGATTGGAAATTCTTTCTTCCTTTTTTTTTTTATTAAAAAAAAATACTAATAACCAATTGGTGCAACTCTCCTTGTAACCAAAGGCCCTTTCTGCCTTGTGTGGTCATGCAGGAACTAGCCCTTCCTTCCTCGTGTGTTTTGTCTGATCTCAAAGTAGCATTTTATGGAGTCACTTTTGAAGGACGAATTCAGAAGTATCATGAAGAACCTACCTTTTCAGGCTGAACAGCCAGAGTCCTATAGAGTTCTTATAGAAACAAAATAATTGAAACTCAGCATATACTATGCTTAGAAAGTATTGTGCTCTGTTTTGTTTTTTTCCTTTTGCGTATGTATCATGGGGATATATATATAGCTTTTACCCTGGGCCCGATTCAAATAAAGTGCTGTGAGTTTACCCAGGCCCCCACCTGCCAGAAAGGAGCATACGGAAATTTTTAATATGTGTACATTCTACCTAAACCTGTGTACGTGCACTGGGAAATCTACCTAAGAGTCTCCCCTGAGAAGCTAACCTTGATCAACAGGTCTGGATGGAGGACAGGAAAGCAGTAGTTTTGGAAGCAGGTTACCACCTTACCTTGGTGGTCCAAATAGCACCCACTCCTGAGCCAATGAAAGCGGGGAGAAAATCAATCAACCCAAATAAATGAAACTGGGGGCTGGGGGCAGATGGAAGCCTGGTCCTTTTGGCAAACTCAACGAAACTTCTCCAGAACCCAACTGAACTTGACTTCCAACTTCCACCGTTATCAGAAAGGGCTAGGGACCAGGAAGCTGTGGCTCCCAGTCACACAGGGGATGGTCTGCGACCAGGGGGGAGGAGGTGGGCAGCCTCTTTTCCTCTTCGGGTAAAGAAAAACAGCAGGACTTTGGTGCGGTAGATTTCTCAGTGCCTTCTTTAGGAATTTTATCTTAAGCACATTAAAATGGGGAAAGAAAAAAGAGGAGAGAACATTTGTTCCCGGGAAGCCCCCTTTTTTTTTTAAAGGTACTGGGGATCAAGAATGAAGAATGAGATGGCAGGGAAGGCAGTTTGGGGGTGGGAGGCCAATATCCTGAGGAGACCATTTCCTTTCAATCCACCTGGCTTGTCCCTGAGAATCGCTGGCAATACAGACGGCTTCAACCTGATTCCCAACCTGCCTTCCACTGTGTCTTGGTCACCGTAGCCTCATTTCTGCCCCTTTTCCTAAAAAGATCCACCTTTCTAAGGAGAGGGGAAAAAACACATAGGACAGGATTCTTTTCAGTAAAGCTGTAATGAATTGTGGATGTTTGTAACTATTGTATATTTCTGTCTTGCTCCAAGTCACAGCTGGGGTGTCTAATCCATAGGCAAGGAGAAAGTCAAAATTCACCACGGACAAGGGTCACGAAAGCCAGGTCTCTAGTTCTCTCCTTTCCTTGTTTCTCTAGCAACTAGTCCCAGGCTTCAGCCTCCAATCGAGGAACGTTGGATCCAATGAGAACATGGTGAACCGCCTCCGAGGTTCTTTGGGGAAGGACTTTTTCTGTGGCTGCGAAGCTGGCAGGAGGAAGAAGGGGCTCGCGGGAGCCCCCAGCAGGACAGCGGAGAGCCACCAGCCCTGAGCTGCACGTTCCTCACCTCCCTCGGCCTGTGTGACGGCATCCGAATGCTTCCCCTGGGCCAGCGTGACCCAGAGCAGCCTGGCGACACCCAGAAACGAGTTGCCTCTGCATTTTCTGTTGCCACTTTTCTGGCTCTAGAAGTATCTGACGTGTAGGACTACATCACAGGTTGTCCATGCATCTCAGAGTAGTCTATTTTCCTGTCCAGATAAATGTATGTCCTTTTAGCAAATCTATAACAGGGCCATGGAGTCTAATTTTGTTTGTAATATAGAATCGCATTTTTGGAGGTTTGTGGCTGGTCGTTATCATAGCTGATATCTTCTGGCCTTTTTTCATTGACTCCCATTGTCCCTAGGACTGCTTTTTCTTCTTTTCGGTTCTGATTTTCTGGGGGTGGGGACAGACTTTAGGGTCTGACTTCCTCGTGCAGGCCTTTCCTGGCACTAGGCCTGGAATCTGTTGACACTATTCCTGTCTTCATTCTGTCTGTGTGTTTCTCCTATTTGTTGTTCTTAAGAACCCAGGGCACAGATGCACGATTGAGAGCAGATGACCCTCAAAATCAGGATGGGATGTGGGCTGGTTAGGCTGATTCCTACACACCTTTGGGGATCTGAGGGGACTGAGTCTTCTCATCCCCAAAGATTTCAGAACCAAAAGTCTCACGTAAGCAAACTTCCCACTGGCATTTCTGAGACCCAGAACACACCCAAGCCCCTCCTGGCTGGCCTGCTGCAGTGTCCAGTGCCCTGCTCCCTGCAACATCAATTGCATCCGAAGGTCAGAGCATTTTCTGGTTCTTGAGGACATCGGAGAACATGCTGGGCTTTAGATCTCATCAACTTTTTATCAGTTCTTCTCAACCCATTGCCAGCAGCCTCAACAGCAAACAGTGGCCAGACAGGCTTGCAGCCAAACCCCAAGAAGACATCTCCCCAGAATCTGCCATCTCATCTCCCCTTCCCTTTCCAGCTGCTGGCTCCAGAGAGCCAGGGATTGGTGGCAAAGTCAGATTCCACTCAACTAATTATCTGGACTGTCCTGATAATTAATTCCACCAGGTGGCTTCCAGCATTGGGTTGGCAGAGGACCGCTCATGAAGCAGGATCTTCAGCAAAAAAGTGATTTTTTTCCATCCATCAACTCATGCAGGAAGAAGAAGAAAGCTCAGATTGTCTCCAGTTTGCAATCATTTAGATTTTTATATACCCACCACCCCACCACTTCTACCACCTCACTGTCAGCTTCAGGGCTCTCACCTCCACCCAAATAGAAATCTGAGCCCAATCAGGACCCCCAGATGGCAGCGAATGATTCCCTTTAGAATAGGGGTGTCGAACTCAATCAGAGAAGGGGCCAAAATCTAAAATCCAGCCTAAATCGCGGGCCGAATGGTTTACTGAACAGTCGTAAACTGTCATTGTGATGGAAACGCAGCGGAGTGCAGTGATGACAGCGCGGTGCGGGCCACATTGCAAGGCCTGGCTGGACGGATTTGGCCCGTGGGCCTTGTGTTTGACACATGTGCTTTAGAACAACCCCAAGAGGAAATGAATCCAAGTAGGAATCTATTCTTTTGGACCAAGACCCTAGTCAAAATTTTCCCACCCCCTCCCCAAATTCCTGGTAGCCTGATTTGAACCAAAGCCAAACAAAACAGATGAGATTGTTAAAACTTCTTCACAAGAACAAAGTTGTTTTTTCCATTAATGTGCTAGGTCTGATGCCTGGATAAGCAAACACCCTTGCTTATGGCTGTTTTCATGAGGGAAGAAGTTGCATAGTTTGGGTATCCATTCACTATCTGGATTTTGTCTTAACCTGGAATTTCTTGGGAGTGCCCCAAAATTCCAACTTGAATAAATGGATTTGGAAGGGGCTCTGTTAATGGAGCAGCCCCTCATCTTCACCTCTAACTCTAACTCTCCATTCCTCCCTGCAAAGATTCTGAAGAGATCTAAAGGCTGGCCAGGATGGGTGGAGTGGGGCAGTTCGCCTGGACAAGAAATTACCTGACTGCAGGATGGCTGCATGTGGGTCATTGAAATGTTCTCTTGCATGAGAAGGACAGAGTGGTTGATTTCAGCTCAAAGTCTAGTAGGTGGGGCTGCCTAACCATGGAACTCAAGTGCCATGTTGGGTAATGACCTTTGTGGCAACACGGTGTTTAAAGAGAGGCTAGATGGTATACAAAATGCATATTGCAGAGGGACCCTAGCATTGCACAGCAACTGGACTAAACAACCAGGGAAATTCTCTTTCTCCCTCTCTCTCTGTGTTTCCTGGTGTGGTGTGTGTGTGTGTGTGGGGGGGGGGGTTGATGGTTGGTGGTTTGAACATCCGGGAACAGACTCAAGCCACCAAGGCAAAGGCAAGGAGCACTGTTAACAGGAACTCAGAAATGTTAGAATTTGGAGCTCTCAGAGGGAGTTCTAGGTGGCACAGGATACCCTGTTCCCCACGCTCCGTATCTTGGACAATTTCAATGACCCTCTTGATCACCATCCAACCCATCCCCAGTGCCCTAGCAGGAACCACCCAGGGTGGGATAATACTTATGGTACCATCCCCCAGGCCAACCAAAAAGCAACCTCATCCCTGGCTGGCTGCCTCGAGGTACTTCAGCCCTTCTGCCCAGACTATGCCCTCAGAGACCTGAGGATTTCGGTACAAAAGACACAATTATCTTTTACCCACTAGCCACCTGTCTAATGAACAAACAGCCCAGGCAACGGCAAATGGCACTATTCCAAAAGGGCTTTTTTTCCCCCCCTGGCAAATAAAACAGGAAATCCCATTCAAATCCTTTAGGGTTTTTTGTTTTTTGTTTTCTTTTTCATTGACTTTATTGGGGTGACACACTTAATAAAATCATATAGGTTTTAGGTGTATAATTCTATAATACATCATCTGCATATTTTATTGTGTGTTCACCACCCCCAGTCAAGTCTATTCAAAGCTTTTGAAAGTCCCCACCTAATGAAGTTAAATCCAGAAGGGCCAAAACAGGCACCTATACCCCAGTTTTACAGCAAAACAAGGCTTCTGCTGCCTCCAGGCAAAAGGCCATCTCCCACATCTGTAGCCCCTTCCCAATGTCTGGATTCTGCATTCCTCAAGGAGAGCATTGGACAAAGAGGCTTGCAAGTCCCCCTTAATTTATATTTGGTGAGTCTGGAGGAGGTGGAGCTTCATCCTCTGGTGACCCCCAGTGCAGGCAGCCTCAGGTTGTTTTGTCACCAGATTAGGCAGGATATGCTTGAACGGATAGACCGAGCAGCTGCTAATTTCTAAGATCCCCCTCTGAGGCTCTGTCCCGAGGAATAACTCAAGTCAATGTCTGCAATGACATTACAGTCCTGAAGAAAGGAGGGAAACTCCCAATTCTGTCCCATTAGGATGCTCTCAAGAGTTATGCATGCATCTCCCCACCCTACTTGCCTCCCTGAGCTGATCCAGGTTTGGAAAACCAGGCAGGAAGCACAGGAGAAGCTGCTCAAGAGATTTGGACCTCTCCTGGTCTTCACTAGGGCGTTGGGCTCTCTCTCTTAGATGACCTTGACCTCTGAGCTTGGTGTGCCTGCTAGGTGGGGAAGAGGAACATCAGCAGCTGCTCAGCTGGCAGCTGGCCTTTTGCTCCCCAGACCTATCCTGGCTTTAAGCCAAGGTCAAGATCTGGGAACACCATTTTCTGCACCAGGAACTCAGGGTAATCCCCCAAGGTATGCCCTTGGCACATAGTGGTCACTCAACCTGTGTGTTTGAGTGAGTAAATGTGTAAATGATTAACTTCTGAGTGAATGAATGATGAGCGAATGTGTGAGTGAAAAGAGGAGCTTGTTAGTTCTTACCTGGCTGGAGGTAGTACTAACTGGGAAGGAAGGAGAAATGGGAGGCCCCTCCCATTAAAACCTGTAACAGCCCCACCAACAGCATCTGTTCTTTGACTCAATTGGGGACCAAGATGATGTCCAAATTGGACACTTGTCTGGCCTAAGGACCTTGGCCTTTTCGTTTGGGGCAGCCCCACACTCCTTTCTTACTCTCCTACTCTGCATTTTCAACCCCATGCTCTAATTCAGCTCACACATAGCCCATAGGTTTTCCAATGGCAAAGCCAAGGGTCCAGGACTTGCTAGGGGCAGGAATGTGGGAGCTGACATCTGGAAACTGGATTGCATTCCCTGAGCCATGGAGTCCAGCTGGAAGAGAAGGCCAGCTTTTCCTCCAGCTTTTAGAGCCAAGGGATTTCCTTTGTTCTGAGCCCCAGTGCCCCCATGGCAGCATGTGCCCAATCCCATTCGCTAAGACCCTCTGTCTCTCCCAGAAACCATGTGAAGTTGAGGTTTTTATGCCAGCAAAGCCATTCTGATCGCCCCACCCATGATGGGGGACAAGCCAATCACATTAGCCATAAATGACCAATGTCCTTAGATGCTCTTTTCTGGGGTTGTGTTCTTGGGTCCTGTTCATCTCTGATCAGTTGACGTCTCTAGTCCTTCCTGTAAAAGTGAAATGAGCATTACACACACACACACACACACACACACACACACACACACACACTCATGAGGAAACCAAACAACAAACAATCCAGTTTCTTTTTATGCATGTGATGAGACGAAATTGTGACCTTCACCTGCTGTCCTGTCTTGTAAAATATGTCCAAATGTTTAAGAATTTCTAAGCAAATGGTCCCTTAATGAAGTCTGCAGAGTTCAATAAAGAGGTATGGAGAAAACAAGCTTGGTGGTGTTTGTTTTATTTTCTAGGGGGCATGGGAAGGGAGAGGTGGGAAGGTCTACAGAGGAAGCTGAATTGGGGGACTTAGAGGGGACAGCCCTGGCTTTTTCTCTTCACCTGAAAGATAGATTATGAAAATGTCACTGCCATGTAATCCCAATGTGCAAAGAGTGGCAATCCACCCCATGCTGTGCTCAAGGGACCAAAGTCCAAATTCTGGTCATTTGGCTCTCATGTCAATGATAACTGGGCCTTCTTGGCCTTACTGTCGCTCTCTCATAAAGATGTCTCACAATGCCTACAGGAGCCACACACATAACTCTTACAGTCCACCCCTTCTCTGCTCCATTGTTCTCCGTGACACTTTCCACAATATTTTATGTATTTATTTTGTTTATTGTTCACCTCCCTCTAATAGAACATAAATTCAGAAACTAAAAAGCAAAGACTGGGTGGTGGGAGGGGGAGAGATAGAACAGAACATCCAAAGACTATGAATGTGCATGTCTGTTTGTTTTTGCTTTATTTTACTCACACAAATAGTAACATACCATATACGTACCCTGCTCTGCACTTTGCTTTTCTCATTTCATACTATGTATCTTGAAAATCATCCTGTACCAATACACAAAGCGCTTCCTTGTTCTTTTGTACACAGTAATCGCTCATCTCCTACAGTTGAATGTTCGGGTTGCTTCCAAACTTTGGTGTAACAAACAGAACGGAAATGAATGGCTTGTCAGTGGTTCCTATGGGTTCTGCCTTCAAAATAGATCTGGAATCTACATTTCTTGCCCCTCCACTGCCACAGCTCTAGGCCGTGCCATCACTCTCTGTTGCCTAATGATGGCAGCAGCCTCCAGACCAGGCTCACTGTTTCCACCTATGATCCCTTTCAGGCTTCTCTCAACACAGTGGCCAGAGGGATTCTATCAACCTGTCACCCTGATTATATCACTTCACCGCTAAAGCCTTCCAAAGGCTTCCCATCACATTTTGAATAAAATCCAAAGTCCTTGGCATGGTCTGCAAGGCCATTTATCCTTAGGCTCCTGCCTGCCCCTTTGCTTTCACCCCTCTCCCTGCTCTCCCCTGAGGGTGTTCTGCTCCATTGTCACTGTCCTCCTCACTGTTCCTCAAACATGACCTCATGGGCTCACCTAATGCAACCCCTTTCCAGCCCCCATCCCAGATTCCTCTACCCTCTCTGACCTCCTGTCTTATTACTCTTCATTTCTCTCACTCCCCTTCAGACATATTGGCCACCAGTCCATTTTCCAATGCACCAAGCATACTGCCACCACAGGGCCTTTCCTCTGGCTGTCCTCTCTGCCTGGAACATCTTTTCCAGGCTAGCCATATGGCTCATTTCATCGCCTCCTTCAGGTGTCATCTTAGCAACCCCTTTAGCTGACAACCCTGTTTATAATAACAACCTCCCCACCCCCAACACACACACATACACAAAAGTCTCATAACCCTTCCCCTTTTCTGCTTTATTGTTCTCCATAATACTTACCACCTTCTGACACACTTTATTATATTTATTTATTTTGATTATTATTTATCTCCCTCCAATAGAATGTAAATTTCTCCCTCCGGTAGAACATGAATTCAAAAACTGAAAAGCCAAGAGAACAAAGACTGAAAAAAAAAAACCACAGAATATTCAAGGACTGTGGAACAACTAGAAAACATAACCATAACGGGAACACAAGAAACATGAGAGAAAAGAACAACAGAAATATTTGATACCATAATAACTGAGAATTTCAGCAAAGTAATGCCAGGCACCAAACCACAGATCCAGGAAGCTCAGATTAATACCAAAAAACTAGACCTAGCCATAAAACAAGTCAAACTACAGAAAAATCAAAGATAAGAAAAAATCCTGACCTGCAAGAAACCAGAAGAAAAAACAGGTCAATGATAGAGGAACAAAGATAAGAATTACATTTGCTTTCTCCTCAAAAACTATGCAAGCAAGAAGACAATGAAGTAAGATACTTAAAGTGTTGAGAGGAAGAAAAAAGCCAGCAACCTATAGAATTCTGTACCCTGAAAAATTATCTTTCAAAAGTGAAAGAGAAATAAAAACTTTTTCAGATAAACAAAAATTGAAGGACTTTGTTGCCAGCACAAAGAATGTTAAAAAAAGTTCTTTAGAGAGAGAGACAATGATATAGGTCAGAAATTTGAATCTATATTTAAGAAAAAGTAAGACCATCAAGAAGAACTAAATAAAGGTAAAATAAAAACTTTTCTTTTTCTAATTCTTAATTTCTCAAACAAATAACAATTTGTCCATATTAATACCAACAATGTATTCAATTTTTTTATATATCTTGTGTATGTAATGTATATATGTTTATGTATGCTATATATTGATATAAGTGAAGTGAGTGACAGAAATGATACAAAAGACAAGAAGGAGAAATTAGAATTCTTTTGTTTTTACTAGGTACTACACTACCCATGAAATGGTATGGTGTTATTTGAAAGTGGATTTATATTAGTTGTAAATGTACATTGCAAACACTAAGGCAACCACTAAAATGGTGTTTAGAAAAGTATAATTAATTTGCTAAGAAAGGAGAGAAAAATTGAATAATAAAATGCTCAATTAAAACCACAAGAAGCAGGGACCGGTTTGGCTCAGTGGATAGAGCCTCGGCATGCGGACTGAAAGGTCCCGGGTTCGATTCCGGGCAAGGGCATGTACCTTAGTTGCTGGCACATCCCCAGTAGGGGGTATGCAAGAGGCAGCTGATCGATGATTCTCTCTCATCAATGTTTCTAACTATCTATCTCTTTCTTCCTCTCTGTGAAAAATCAATAAAAAATATATTTTAAAAAATTAAAATTAAAAGAAAAACCACAAGAAGCAGAAAAAGAATGGAAGACAAAAAATAGAAACAAAGGCAACAAATAAAAAGCAGTAACAAATATAACAGATATTAATCCAATATGCAATAATTATTTTAAATGTCAATGTTCTAAACATACCAATTAAAAGACAAGATTGTCAGAATGGATCAAAAAACAAGACCCAATGCTATATACACCACATACACACATGCGCGCGCACACACACACACACACACACACATGCACACACCATGGGCTGTGAGTGCAAGTCTTTGCAGATGACTAGTGAGTTTACACAAAAAGCTGGCCTCACTGTACAGGTTTGAAAAACGCACACAGACTTGAACAGTTAGCACCCTCCAAAAGAAAGCAAATGAGAGGCTGTCAGCACCTGAACCATCCAGCCAGTATGGCTCAGTGATTGAGCATTGACCTATGAACCAGGAGGTCATGGTTTGAGTCCCAGTTGGGGCACATGCCCGGGGTTGCAGGCTCAATTCCCAGTAGGTGTACAGGAGGCAGCGATCGATGATTCTCTCTCATCATTGATGTTTCTATCTCTCTCACCCTCTCCCTTCCTCTCTCTAAAATCAATTTTATTTTTTATTTTTAAAGAATCTTAAGAACCTTAATCTTAAGAACCTCCCCTTCTTCCCAAAGGTAATAAGAAATGTGGACAGACGCTCCCATAGAAAAGGCCTGGGAAAGCCTCTGAATCCCTAGTGGGCTGGCAGGTAAATATTTTTTTTTCCCCAAAGGTCACTGCTTCTTCAAATCTGGACAACAATGCAAATTCTTAAGGAATGAAATAAAAAAATCAAGAAACACAATAATTTTCATGTAACTGACCCGAAAGATATGGAGATCTATAATTTCCTGATAAATAATTCAAAATTACTGTTTTAAGGAAGCTCAGTGAGCTATAAGAAAACACAGAAAGACAAATCAACAAAATTTAGAAAACAATACAAGGAGATAGAAATCATAAAAAAAGAACTAAACAGAATTCTGGAGCTAAAGAACACAATCAATGAAATTAAAAACACAGCCAAAACCGGTTTGGCTCAGTGGATAGAGCGTCGGCCTGCGGACTGAAAGGTCCCAGGTTCGATTCTGGTCAAGGGCACGTGCTTTGGTTGCGGGCATATCCCCAGTACGGGGTGTGAGGAGGAAGCTGATCGATGATTCTCTCATCGATGTTTCTCTCTATCCCTCCCTCCTCCTCTCTGTAAAAAATCAATAAAATATATTTAAAACACACACACACAATGAAGAACATAAGCAGGAGACTTAAATAACCCAGAGAATGAATTTCTGAACTCAGAGACAGTTCATCTGAAAGTATCTTGTCAGAGGAGTGCAATGAAAAAGAGTGAAGAAAGCCTACATAAATTATGGAATATCATCAAATGAAACAATTTATGCATTATGGGAGCCCCAGAAGGAAAAGAGAAGGAGAAAGGGCAGAAAGTTTATTTAAAGAAATGTGGCTAAGAACTCCCAAATCTGGGGAGAGATATAGACATATAAGTTAATAAAGTTTATATGTTTCCAAATATATTTGACCCAAAGAGATCTTCTCCAATACACATTATAACAAGACAGTCTAAAATTAAAGACAAAGAGAATTTTGAAGGCAGCACGGGTGGAAAAAGAACTTGTTAAGATTAATATACAAAAGTCAACCTCTTCCTACATATCAATCATAAACAAGTGAAATTTGAAATTTAAAAAACAATTCTATTTACATTAGCACACCAAGAAATTAAATAGGTGTAAATCAACAAGTATATATGTGATCTATATAAGGAAAATACAAAAGTATGATGAATAAAATTTAAAAACTAAATAAATGGAGAGATTTTCTATGTTTATGGATATGAAGACTTGATTTTGTTAAAATGTCAGTTGTTCCCAACTTGACCAATGGATTCCATGCAATCCCAGTCAAAATCCCAGCAAGTTATTTTGTGGATATCAACCAACTGATTCTAAAATTTATATGTAGAGCTTTGCACAGTGGCAGCATCATAGCCAATGAGGTTTATTCTAGGTGCAATTATTGCTTTAAAAAGAGAGAGAGAGAGAAGAGAAAATAAAATAAAATTTATATGAAGAAGTAAAAGATCCTGAATAGACAACACAATATTGAAGAGGAGCCAAGTTGGAGAACTGACATTACCCAACTTCAAAGCTTAACTATACAGTAAAGCTGCAATAATCATTCACTAACCTCATACTGGCACCTTCATGTCAGCTGTGGGTAAGTATTGCAATCCTGAGATAAATTAAGACATTCTTGCCTCCTTTATTTCCCCTTCCTTCCTTCTTTTCTTCTTTTCTTCTTTTCTTCCTTTTTTCCTTCCTTCCTTCCTTCTTTCCTTCCTTCTCTTTCTTCATTTCACCTCCTTCACATCTTCCTTCTTTCCATAACATCTATTGAGAATGTCATGTGCTGGGAATTCCAGGGGCAGTCCAGTGAATTCCACAGACCCCTTCTCAGAATAATAATTTTAATTGCATAAAAAATACATAGGTTTACAAAGGAACCATACATTATTGAAATTAAATTATTAAAATGTTTTTTAATATGTGATATAACCATATGTTCTTATCAAAATAATAAGCTCTAGCCCTAACTGGTTTGGCTCAGTGGATAGAGTGTTGGCCTGAGGACTGAAGGGTCCCAGGTTCGATTCCAGTCAAGGACATTACCTTGATTTCAGACACATCTCCAGTAAGGAGTATGGCAGGAGGCAGCTGATTAATGTTTCTCTCTACCCCTCTGCCTTCCTCTCTGTAAAAAATCAATAGAACATATTTTTTTAAAAATAACAAGACCTAGCAATGGATATAATAACAAGATCTAGCAGTGGGTATAGTAATCATAATTTCAAGCTAGTGAAGAGCATAAATGCCACTTTGAGCTATCTACAACAGCTCTAATCTATGATTTTTATTAGTGACAATGTCACAAGTACTGCTAATACTACCATAATTTGTTGCCTCTATTCATAACTGAAGGAAGGACAACATTTCAGTTAGAAATCAGACCCACCCAAGTTCACAGACGGATCCCTGCATTAGGTGAAATCTATTTCATGGGTCATAGCACTCTTTTAATCAATGAATAATTTAGACAAACTAGGCCAGAATGAATAGATCAGGATGCAATGCTCATAATAAAGGTGAGTATAGACTTATGAAACTTTCATTTCAAGTGTGTGTGTGTGTGTGTGTGTGTGTGTGTGTGTGTGTGTGTGTGTGTATTACAGGTCATGATGCTAAAATACTTCCTGCAACCCATGGTTAGAAATATCTGAGAAGGCAGGCCCAGCACAGCCACTGCCACATTGCAAATGCAAACATCCTAGTCCTTCCCTCTGGGCCCCAGTCAGCCTTGGTTGGCCCCTCTGCCCTTCTGCCAACACACAGGACCCAAGTTCAAAAAAGGCTGTGTTGTCAGTGGCTGCACAATTATTTCTGCCTGCCTCCGGGAGAGGAGCAGGTGTAGCGATGCTCATGTCCTGAGCTCATCGCCTGTCTGGGAACATGCCCCTCCTGATGGCCACATGTTCCCCCAGCAAATATGAGGAGGGCTGTTTGTGAGGAGCCAGCTGGCGGCATGTCTGGAGGTGCCAGGATGCAAAGGTCTGGGGCTAATTAAACCGCCTCGAGACACTGTGGGGAACTCAGGCCAGGCAGATATTTCTGAGCTTTTCTGTATGTGTGTTCTTCCTATTCCCAATCCTGGATATCAAAGGAGAGAGTTCGGGAAGGGATATTGGAACCAGAAAAACAAAAGGTCTAAGACAGTGTTTCCCTAAGTGTGGTACGCGTACCCCCAGGGGTACAGGAAGAGTTTGGTGGGGGTATACTTTGCACCGGAGTTTGGTGGGGATATACACTGCACCGTGCTTAGCTGCGCCTAATTCTACGTTCTCATGAGTACGAAGGGTACTCAGCGTTATGAAAATTATAGAAGGGGTACACATATGTCAAAAGTTTGGGAAACACTGGTCTAAGGGAATCTACTCTTTGGTCTCCAAAGGGGAAGGAGGCCTGACACTCTGCAGATGTAGGTTGAGGGAACAAATTCTTTGTCTGTCGGATTGTTGGCACGGAGCCTTGTGTAATCAAGAGGAAATTATTAAAGGGGAAGGTGGGCTTGGAGGGATTTCAAACTGCAGCTCAATCCAGTGGTTTAGAAGAAAAACATGGGTGTCTGAAGCAGCTGAGGTCAAATTCTGGCGACAATACTTCCTTGCTGTGTGACCTAGGGCAAGCCATTTTCCCTCTCTGAGCCTTGGTTGTCTAGTCTGTAAAATGGAAAAATAATGTCATCTACTTCAAGGGACTGCTGGAGGGTTTCAGTGAAAAGATATAAAATACTTAGCCCAAGGCTTGAATACCGTGAGAGCTCAATTATGGAAGCTCTCGTTGTTACCATAATTATTATTCCCACTGCGGCCTGGTGTCTACATCTGTTCCTTAATGAGATTTATTGTCCAGGCTTGCCTTCTCACAATGCCAGAAATCTTGAGACATAAAACCATACTAGTTAGCATTTATTGTGTGCCAGGTACAGTTCCGGGCACCTCGCATGCATTTGCTAATTAATTCTTAGCAGCAATCCTATGTAATAAAACCTATGGAATTACCATTATGGGTGCCATATGGGTGCCATCATGAATTTGTCATCAACAACAACTGTGAAGTTGTCATCATTCTTATCTTACAGATGGGGAACCGGTTATCTATTGCCGCATTAACCAGCTACTCCAACACCTAGTGGCTTGAGACAACAATAAGCATCTGTTACCTAACCGTTTTTGTGGCTCAGGAATTCAGGGGTGGCTTAGCGGCACCTGAGGAGAGACAGTCAGGATGTTGGCCAGGGCTACCGTCATCTAAGGCTTGACTGGGGCTGGAGGATCCCCTTCCAAGGTGGCTCCCTCACATGGCCGGAGGTTGACGTGAAGCTGTTGGTGTGCATTCTTAGTTCTTCCCAGAAAACCTTTGCGGTGTTTCTGGAATGTTCTCCCAATATGGCTGAGGGATTCCCTCGGAGTGAGTGATCCCAGAGAAAGACAGAAGCTGCAATGTCTTTATCCCCCCAAGTTTTTTTTATTATGGAAAAACACACATAACCCAAACGTTACCATCTCCAGCCATTGTAAGTGTACAGTTCAGATATTAAGTAGACTCCTATTGTTGTGCAGCCATGACCACCAGTCTTCTCCATAAATTTCAACTTGCGAAACTGAAATTCTGTACCCACTGAACAAGAACTCCTCATCTCCTCTCCCCATGTCCTCTGGCAACCATTCTATCCTCTGTCTCTATGAATTTGACCATTCGAGCTACCTCATGTAAGTGGAGTCCTACTGTCTTTTTGTGACTAACTTATTTCACTCAGCATAAGGTCCTCCATGTTCATCCATGAGGTGGTAGTAGTATGTATCAGAATCCTCTTCCTTTTCTATTGTCACTGTGTCTTTTCACTATCCCACCTTGGAAGTCACACACACTGTCGCTTCTCCAACATGTTATTGTCACACAGGTCAGCCCTCTTCACTGCAGAAGGGACGATACAAGGAAGTGAATTCTAGGAGACAAAAATCATTGGGGTTCATCTTTGAGCCCTGCTATTCCAGAATGGAGTTCCCAGAGGTTTAATGATTTATCTCACATCACACAACTGGCAAGTGACAGACCGGGATTTGAACCTAGATCACATGACATGAGGGCAATGGTGTCCCTGCCCCTCTATCCACACCTCAACATGGCTTCACCTGATGAAGGGAGAGGCACCTGATGAGTGGAGGGTCCCTCAGCAGAAGGTCAGGAGGCCTGGGTTGAAGTTTCAGATCTGGCAGTAACTCACCATGTGACCTCGGGCGAGTCACTGCCCCTGTCTGGGCCTCAGTTTCCTTATTTGTCAGGCAGGGGCAACAATAACTACTTTGCATGATGTTGAGGTGAATAAAGAAAATGAATACATTCAATAAAGCTTAGTCCACAGACAGATATGCAGAAAGAATGCATTTTCTTCTTTTAAGCTTTTTTCAATGTTTATTTACTAGATAATAATCCCATATGGTACCAACTGGAAAGGTATGAAAGATCTGCAAGAAAAATACCCCTCTCACTCAGTCTACCAGCCATCCAGTCTCCCTCTCCAGAGGCAACTACTGTTACTAGTTTCTTGTTGAAATATCACAGTTCTTTATTTTCTTAAACCAACCTAATTCCCAAGAACCTGCTGAGCCGGGGAGTCTGGGTCCCACCTGGCACCAAGGCATGGAGGGGGAAGGAGGACAGGGCCTTCTAGTTATCATTCACTTACCTAACCACCTTAGTGACTTTGGGGATACTCCTTGTCCCGGGCATGTAGAACCCTGAGAGCCAACTGGAGGAGCTGGGATTTGAACTCAGGTCTGGAGCCCGAGTTCTGAAGCATTTCATTCCTCCACTGAGTTTCGGAACTGACTCCTGGCAGCATGAGAGAGAACATCAAAATTGCAAGCATGCAATTGCCCCACAATAAAGAATAGCACTGCCTCTTGCTGGAGTGATACGCATGACTTAAAGTTGTAACCATGGGTAATGTGAAGCTATTAGAAATTCTTCAGCTATCATGTAAAGTTAAAATAAATAATTCTACACACAGCCGAGGCACTGAAGAGGTTTTGCCGACCCCTTCCCGCATCAAAAGCAAGACCAGGTGTTTCTTCTGGGCTCCCACACCTGCTCCGTCACAGCCCTTCCATCACCAGGCTCTTACCCCCTGGTCTTAGGTGATCTAGTTAACCAGAAGATAGGAGAACCAGACAGCCTGAGTTCCAGTCCTGGCTCCTCTACTTTCTAACTTATGTGACCTTAGGCAAGTTACGTCACGTCCCTGTGCTTTATGCGCTGGACCTGGTAACAATAGTCCCAAGAACTATAGTGAGGACTAAAAAACGTGTTGCCTTGTAAAGTCCTTGTCACAGTCCCTGAATGTTAGTTACTGTGGCTTGTCCCTCACCTTGTCAAGCAGGGTGAACGTGGAGTCTTCTGAGAGCCGTGCTCAGCCCTTGGTGGCTTTAAGCCAGGGAGCAACGTGGTCCTCACGTCCCAGAGCCTCCCAGACAATGAGAATAGTCCCAGCCTACACCGGGAGGCACCTGCTCATTTAAGGCAAGGTCCGAACTCAGCCTGGAGCAGCCCGGCCTGGATCACTACATCCATCCATCCATGTCTCTGCCTCCTTGCAAGCCAGCCAGACTCGAGACCCCATTAATATAAATGAAGCCCTTTGCTGACTTGATTTCCAAATTAGTCCAGCCGATCAAGATCTCTATTCCGGGAAATGTGAAATTTATGTAATGAAAATTAAAAGAGAAACTGGAGAGGCAGCTCCTTAAGTGCCTTCTTCCCGGGTGAGTGAGCCAGGTCTATGCCTCTGGCAGGAGATGGATGGAGGCGCCACCCGAGGCTGCTGCAGCCTGTGACCCGCAGGGAGGCAGGGAGCACGTTGGCTGCAGGCTGAGGGTAAAGCCCTCAGACCCCCTTTCTTCCCTCAAAAACAAGAGCCGGGATAAATAATAGCTCATGTTCACTGGTAGATGCACAGCCCTGTTCTAAGCACTTTAGTTTCACTGGTTTATCTCACTTAACCCTCACAACAATCTGAGGGGTCAGGCAATACTCTTTTCCCCATTTTCAAGATGGGGAAGGAAAACTGAGGCTTCTATTGGAGTGATTACTTGATCAAAATCACCCAGCAAAAATAGTGGCCCAAATGGGACTCAGGTCTTTTCTCTTTTAACCCCACAGACCTCCTTGTCCAGAACTCAGACAATGTGGAATAGAAGAAAAGCTCTGCAGTCAAAGAAACCTGGGTTCAAATCCAAGCACCAGCTACTGACCTGCTGGGTGACCTTGGACAAGCCACTTCCCTCCCTGCGGCTCACCTCCTTCATCATCATAGCCCTTTCGCCACGGGGTTAACGTCTGAATTACAGGAGATGACACGTAGATATCCCAAGCACAGGATTTCAGATACTCTCTCAAACTGTTGTGTGTGTTTTTTAAAGAAGGGAAAATGTAACCTCTTAGAACGAAGAAGTATGTTCTTAGGGTAATGGTTCAGGTATGGTTAGATCCAGGGGCTCCAAAGATGTCATAAGGGCTCAGTTGAGTGTGTGTGTTTTCCTCTCTCTCCACATAGTAGACCCTCACTAGGAGCTCCAGGGAAATGGCACTATTACAGCTAGAAATGTCAGTTCAAAAAGAGCTTTTTTTTTTTTTTTTTTTTCCCCCAACAGGGCAGCAAAAGTCCCAGGACTCACTCTGATTGGACCACCTCACTCTGATTGATCCATTGGTTATGGATCATATACTCATCCCATAACCAATCTCTACAGCCCAAGGGATGGACTATGTTGATTGGGCCACCTGGGTCACACGCCCACCGCTGGAGCTAGGGGGAAGGCTGCAGAAAGCCTCAGTTGAACCACTTATGAACGCTAACACTACAGGTGGAGAGAGTAAACATTGACAAGGGATGTTGCTTAAGAAGGCAGGAGGAAGTGACCTCATAACCGGCGGCTGCAGGTCCAGCCTCCAGCTCCTAGAGGGGCAGCTCTCAGACTTGGGTCTGACCTTCTGCATGCAGTGAGAGTAGAAAAACTAGCAATAATAATAATATATGTCCTAGCCCTAGCCAGTTTCGCTCAGTGGATGGTGTCAGCCTGTGGACCAAAGGGTCCTGGGTTTGATTCCGCTCAAGGGCACGTACCTTGGTTGCAGGCTCCACCCTGGTCCGGATTCGTGCAGGAGGCAACCAAACGATGTGTTTCTCTCCCTGGAAGTTTCTCTCTGTCTTCCCCTCCCTCTTCTCTTCCTAAAAATCAATGAAAAATAATATCCTTGAGTGAGGACTAACAAAAAATAATTTTTTAAATATTAATAATATATTCCCTAGATCCTTCACATATATTAATCAGCCTAATCTTCACATGCAAAAGAGAGGTTACTATTACCATCAACATTTCCATTTCACAGGTGGAAAACTAAGGCAAAGAGCTACTTGCTCAAGGTCAAATGACTATTGACTGACAAAGCTGAAAACATATATGGTAAAGCCATGACCACAACCGCCATGCCGGATGCCCTGTGAATGAGCAAGGGCCTGGGTTCAAAGCCTCTTAGGCATGCTGGGCTGAAGCTCACGTAGAGGGCACTGGAACCCAGCTCCAGCCCCTAGTGGGCAGCACCTGGAAATGTGGACCTACTATGGCAAGATGTTCTAATTTTCCCAAAGACATCAGAGTTTTATGTGAACTCTCCCGACTTCAAAATGTGGACTCTTTTGTTTAATTGAAACATCAGGCAATCCAATAAATCAGCATCATTCTCGATGTCTATGTGGGATCAGCTATGGAATTGGCAGGGCCCAGTGAAAAATGAAAACTCGGGGCCTTTTGTTAAAAAATTATTAAGAATTTAAAGACAGCCCTGACCAGTTTGGCTCAGTGGATAGAGCGTCGGCCTGTGGAATGGAGGGTCCCAGTTCGATTCTGGTCAAGGGCAGGTACCTTGGTTGCGGAGTGTGCAGAAGGCAGCTGAATCAGTGTTTCTCTCATCAATGTTTCTAACTCTCTATCCCCCGTGTGGAGTGTGCAGAAGGCAGCTGAATCAGTGTTTCTCTCATCAATGTTTCTAATTCTCTATCCCTCTCCTTTCCTCTATGTAAAAAAGAAATCAATAAAAATATATTTAAAAGAAAAAAAGAAGAAAGAATTTAAAGACAGTGGCTGCAAAGCATTATACCAAACAACTGACGGTTGCACATCCATGGGGCTAGTCCTGCCCCTAAGTAATCCTACATACTTGTTGAGGCAAAATGGACACGACCCCTACAAGGTGTCAGGCATGGCTTTATAATAAAATAGGAAACCATTTCAAGCACTCACTATGTGCTGCCACTGTGTGTACTCATACATTTAAACCTTGCAGCAGCATTATACTATTATTCCCATTTTCCAGATGAAGACATTGGGGCTTAAGGAAGTGAAATCATTTGGTACGTGATAGAATTATCTGAGGTGTGCAGAGATGAGGGGAAATAAATGGGAAGGGATATAGTTTATTTATCCCTCTTATTAAGAGGGAGAGAAAGATAAGAGGAAATGCAGCCATCCAGGCCTGTCTCCCAAACGGGGTTGCATTCAGGTCTCTGCCACGACCGACCGTATGGAACCTGGGGAGGCCGCCGCAGCCCCGAGAAGGGCCCGTGGTATTTCTGAATCACGGTGCCATCCGCCCCGGCATGGCTCCTCTCCAGCGATCCAATTACTAAATGCAGCCGCATTCTTTAAAAATGTCTTTCCTCTTATGTAATGCAATAGTGACAAACGCCAAACAGATGGTGCTGTGACAAGCTTTTTAAAAGTTGATTAGGAGCTCGTCTTTCAGAATTAATGTATGGGCATTTAAATGAGCTTCAGCTGGCCGCAGAGCTCCACCAAGATCAGTCACTGGATGAACTCATTGGCCGTGCTCACCTCCTTCCAGCCGGGGTTTGACATGAGTGACAGGTGGTCACGTCGACTTGTGAGCCACAGTAAGAAGATACCTGGTTTGGGTGGAATGGAGAAATGCCTTGGGCCTCACAAAAGCCCAAAAAGGTGGAGCCTCTACAATCTATTACCAAGACTGTTTTTTCCCAAAACTTTTACACAGTCTCCGAGAGAACAGACCATCTCACGCTCCTATGGGGGGCCGTTAGTCACAAACCATGTCAGATGTTGCTATCAGGGAGCTGTTTCCTCAACCCGCCCCACCCCCTTTCTCGGTGTTCAGGGATGAGATCATTTCATTGGTAGCCGATTATAGATGGAGATGTACAGAGAAACCTCCCCGGAGCCCTCCACTCCCATCATCACAGGCTGTCAGGCCAGGATGGGCAGGAACAGGAGGCTGGATGTCCGGTCCCGAGTTCAATCCCAGGGTTTGTGAAGGCCATGCATTCCTAAGCCATCGCGTGGATCTGTTACGCTCCAATGCTAGAGCCCTAACCCCTCCCACCACAGCCTCTGCTTTCCTGCTCAATCAAGAGCACATGCGTTGGAGTCCAGCTCAAGTCCCAGCTTCAGTATTTCCTCATCACGACAGCTCATGCAGGTCACGGGACTTTCCTGAGCCTCAGTTTCCTTATCTGTAAGTGGGGGAAGAATCACCTACCTTATAGGGTCATTGAGGCATTAAAACAGGCATCACTGTTTCAGGGTGAAAAAATGGTAGCTATGAAGGACTCTAAAAAGCGTATGCTACAGAGCCAGGGTAATTCAGGCACTCACAACCTGCTTGGGAAGACAGCGCAAACACAGATAAAATGGTTTCCTCATAAAACAGTCTCCTACGGCCAACACAAGGGTAGGTACAGAGGCAGGGAGAGCTGGCTCCCGGGGAACCTGGCCTGGATGTGAGTTGGGCAGCCACTAGCTGGCCTCCTGGCTGATCTGCACCTCTCTCTCCTCTTCACGCCTCAGCATCTCGCCCCAGACCAGCACACACAGATGCTGCCGCAAAGCTTACCCAGTGACTCATTCACTCTCAGAGCGGGGGAACAGACTGTGATTCCCAGAAGCACCCAGAGTCCTGGTTTAGGAAGGAGGATAGAAAAGCAGCAACATTTGGGCCAGTTCCTGTCCAGCCTCCAGGACAGCTGAAAGATACACCTTCCCCCCAACTCCATTCTCTGTGCTCCTGGGTCCAAAGGCCTGTCTCCCAAACTGAGAGGGGAAACTGAGCTGGCACACTCCTAGCAGGTACGGGAGTCACGACTCCCCAAAAGCTCTGTATCCATCACAGTGGTGCTTCCCCAAGTGGCAAGTGGGGAACTTGATCTGAGATGGTTTTACACCAACCCAAGATGGGACATTAAATAATAGACCACAAGATGGTTTACAACAGCATTGAGTATACTGAAAAGGGACTGAATGGTAGTATCCTTTAAATGAGTAAATGGTATGG